CTACGATGCTACCCGTAGGCTCCATTGTAGTTCCTGTCTGTGGTTCATATTTTGGATCCTATCAGGTAATCCCAAAAAGGAACTACTAATTATGGAGCCCTGCGTTCCAGAATCGTAATGTAGGGGCCTTGATAATTAGAATAGGTTCATTATAGCATAATTATGATAAGGAACCCTAAGGAATGACATTGGTGATGATTTAGGCTTCTATAGTACCTGTAGTCTCCATTGTAGTTCCTTTTTGGGGATACCTTTTAAAATCCTTAATAAATAATTGGTTAAACCAAAAAAAGGAACTACAATGGAGACTATAGGCCCTAAACCCTAAACCCTAAACCTTATAAACCCTAAACCCTAAACCCTGAACCCAGGCTTGGCCCCCCGGCACCCTTGGTCAAGACCTCGATGCGAGGAGGCTCCTGTTCACGCAGAGAGGGTTCAGGTTTGGAGCCCAATTCAGGTTTTGGGTTTAGGGTTTAGGGTTTAGGGTTTAGGGTTTAGGGTTTAGGGTGGGCTTAGCCCTAAAAACCTAAAATCGAAACCCTGAATCGGGAACCCAAACTCGAAACCCTAAAACCCTAAACCCTAAGCCCTAAACTATGCAAGCAGACGCGCGGGTACTGAAAGACTCGGAACCCCAAACCCTAAACCCCTAAACCGTAAAACCTATATCATTGATTGGGAGCCCTAAGTCATACTAGTAGTACCCATATTGGCGATGCCGGCGCTGTTTGAAAGCCAGGGTTTAGGGTGGCACCGAATGGTACAGCGTATCAGCGCAGGTACTTGGAACACAAATCTCGCACAACCACAAATCTCGCACAACCCCTTAAACCCTAAACCCTAAACCCTAAACCCCAAACCCTAAACTCGCACAACCCCGGATGGAACGATTCAAGTGGAAAGTCTCTTGCGAACTATACCGGCTCCTACCGGCTCTGTACATCTTCACCCAAGTCTAATACGGGCTTAGGGTTTAGGGTTTAGGGTCCATGATACTATAAATAAACAAGAACCCACCCAAATAGTATTGGTAATTATTTAGGCTTCCATATTCAACCCTAAACCTGCCAAATGGAAGGGCCCTGATCCTCTCATCAAAATCCTAAAACCTGCCAAGTGAAAGGGCCTTGATCCACTCATCAAGATCCTGTCTTTGGTCACTTCCCATCTTCTCATTCCTGGGTGCTGCAAGCAATTTTTTTTACAACTCTACAGCTCAGCAAGGCTCGTTGGATCAGCCCCCTTAGCCTGATGTTTCCCTGGTCCGACGCAGCCGTGTACTCTTCTCGTCCTAGTCCTAGCAGCAACAGCCGCAGCTGCTCCGGTCAACAGCAGCAGCACCACCACCCCCACCCCCAACGGCAGCAGCAGCAGCAGCAGCAGCAGCAGCGGCAGCGGCAGCAGTCAGCGGCAGCCGCAGTGGCAGCAGCGCTACCAACAGCAACAGCATCAGCGCCAACAAGGGCAGAATTGTTGTTCTTCACAATCATGAACACCCACATCATACCGTCGTAATCATCATCTTCTTCTTCACTGCCGTTATCATCACTATCTGCATCATCGTCACCACCATCGCCACCAGCCACAACATGAACATCGCCATCGTCACCATATTCGTGTTTAGTCATCGATAGCGTCAGGGCCATCTATCACGTGCAGACTCCATATATGGGTAGTTGTCTAAATTAGGGTCCCTTTTAGGGTCCTTTGTATAAGGGTGCCGTACTATATTGGGAACCTAAAAATGGCCTAATTTAGAGAACTACCCATATGCATCGCCAACATCATCATCTCAGAAGCCCCCGGGAACTTGGTGCGCATCGAAGACTGAGTGGAAATTATCCACGTCACAGCAGCTGCGGAAAACTGCAATCGAGCAGGTTCGTCATCATGTTACACTATGGGCTGCACTTATAAGTGGAGTGAGGTAACACTGAACGCCAAGCCGAATCCTCGGTAAGACCAGAGCTAGATCCTGATGACCGAACTCTCTTTTGCTCAATTCCGTTGGTCATAATATCATTATGGGCCCGGTTCAGAAGCCGTGGTTGTTCGATATCTTCCGTGCAGTGTGCACGTTCGACAAAGTCGACTGTTCGATGGCTGGCTCGTCTAAAGGAAAGTCGCGCGAGAGCAAAAACATGCAAGCACTGGACCCTTGCTTAATGTAGGGGCCTAAATAACTAATTGCCTATACTATTTAGGGGGTTCCTTATTATAACTACAGTACAATGGGCCCCAACACCGTATTCTAATTAGAAGGCTATGCAGGAAAGGCACTAAGAAATCCACCGTGCAATCAGTTTATAGTTATGAAGAGTTCTCAAAGTTGAGGTAGTCGTGTCCATAAAGGTTTATGGTCCTTTCTGGTGGAAGCGCCGAAAAAGAACCCAAGCCGAATTCGTGCCGTGGTGCAGCTGGTTCGCACGACGAGCAACCTGTGGCCAGTAGCAGCTAGGAGCCCAATCTAAAATCTGAAGAATATTATTCATGATTAAGACTCTAACTCTACTAGAGGGGTATCTGAAGCCAACAAATGCAACAAGCTGCTCAGTGCTCGGACAGGAAATCGAGTCCATGACTACAATTGGGAACGCTATAGGCTTCCTGGCCTTGGCAAACGTGTCGAACATGCAGGTTCTGATACCGATCGCTGCAGGAAGTCTTGAGGGGGTGTGAGATTCCGGGACATTCTGTTTTGCTGGGTGAAAACACACACGACACGGCCAAGCCAATTTTGCAAGGATTACATTGAAAGAACCAGACCTCTCAAGAAGCGCTCCGTCCCAAAATGGTGGAAGGGTGGGATACCTCAAGCACTGCATGCAAAGAAACTCCGCAACCAAAAGACCCCTGCCGAAGCAGACCACGACATACTTGCCTAGTCAAGCTCTCCGTAGGAACACTGACACGAACTTGATCCAAGCACAACAGCCAGCACCTGCGAGTGCTGGTGCCTCCTTGTATGCGCGATGATTAACCCGTCTCGCTAGGAAGATCTAGATGCAAGCCATCGACGAAGTCAAGCATACGCACAGCACCATGATGACGACCGTTATGTAGTGAAGCCTAAACCGTACATCCTAGAACCCCAGGCCCTTATCGAAAACCCTGAAGCCGCAAGGCATTGACCCCGCCTCGGCGTACACCTCGGGTCTTGACCAAAAGTAGGGCATCGTCACGACCATGCCGCGATCCACAAAAGTGAAAAGCCTGGGCAGAAGCTCGGGCTCATCTGCTTGCTTTTCTTTTGATGGCTGGGGGAGGGGGTCTGTGGTTTTGGGGCCTATGGCTCAGTGGTCTGCCAAATTTTGTGGATTGAGGTTTAATGCTTTGGGGCTTTAAAGTCACAAGGTAAATAGCGTTAGAGGACTATGGGGTTTTCACCCTATTAAGGGATGCGGTTTTGTGATTTGACTTTTTTGGGCTTCGGGTTTCGGGTTGAGGGGTTTTGGGTGGGGCCCTCCAGACTGTGAGTATGTTCGAACGTCGTAGAACTTGGATAGGGCCATGCAGAGGCACTACTCTCTGCATCATCGGCACAATCACGACTACGACTATTCGTCATCATAATTTCGCGAATATGGCTACAGTGACTATGTCTGCAGTGACTTTCGTGCTGAACATGACAATGTCTGTGAAACATAGTGCAACCATTGCCGCTCCGATGTTCACCAAATAGCAGGGGATTCAGACAGGACCTCTCGCTGTGACTTCTTATGAAGCCCTCTGAATCTGAGGAGTACTTCTTGCACTTCAAAGCCTACCCAAACATCTCACATCGACTTACGTCCTGTTTTCTGCGACATCGGTTCCTGCCCAGTCCCTGGCAGAAAGAGTTGAAGGTACTTGGAGGCCCAGGGGACTTAGCAAGTAGGTTATAAGTAGAGTTATAAGTACCCTAAATGGAATTACCCCAATTATAACCCTACTTATAACCGACTTACTCAGTCCCCTGGGCCTTCAAGTAGTCCTGGCCCTGCGAACCTGAACTTTGGATCTCCAGCACCCAGTGTAGCCCTTCCAGCCTAACGGTCTACCCAAGTGATCTTAGGGTTTTAGGGTTTAGGGTTTTGGGTTTGACGCGGTACAGCGCTCAAAGCATCGCATAGGTAGCCGAGACTCTAAACCTCAGCACCTTCTTTCAATGTCTGTGCAAGCTACGGTTTAAGGTTTAGGGCTTAGGGCTTTCGGAGCTTTGAAACCTGATTAAACTCTAACTCTAAACGTCAAGTCTTTAGGGTTTTAAAGGAGCTTTAAAACCCAAATTAAACCCTAACTCTAAATCTTGAACGTTAAGGGCTTAGGAGCTTCAAAAACCCTAAACCCCTATAATTCTAAGCCCTCTTAGCCCCTCAACCCTGAACCCTCCCAGCATGAGGCTCTACGGGCTGACGCTTCCGAGGCCAAGGCGTGTCCAAGTGCATGAAGGCCCTCTGCTTGGGGATGTAGACCTCTTCCAGGGTGCAAGGATCTCTTTAGAGAGTTCCTAGGAGGTTTTGGTAATCATGAAATGCCATGAGCCCTTTAGAAGGCTTCTAGGAGCTTTTGGTGATCATGAAATGCCATGAACTCTCCAGAAGGTTTCTAGGAGGTTTTTGTGATCATGAAATGCCATGAGTTTTTTAGAGAGTTTCTAAGAGGTTTTTGTGATCATGAAAACCTACACTCGATTGGACGCAAGACGGCAGCAGCCAGATTCGATTCTCAGCGGCCACTTGCCTACAGTGAGGCGGGGGCGGCCTCTAAAATCAAGCGAAAGATCGACGCAGGGTTTAGGGTTTAAGGTTTTAGGGTTTAGGGATGCATCGGGCGGAACCCCCAAACTAAGGAATATGGCTCGGGGTGCTGAGAAATCCTGAACTTGGTGGCCTCAGGCAAGACAAGAGATGAAAAAACACACAGAAGCCCGAAACCTTGCCATGTTCATGTAGCGTTAGAGAGGCGTTTGATGCTCCTGGCCTGCTGAACCCGAATCCTCAGCCGATCCGTCCGACCTTCACCACCCGCTTTACAGGCGTCTGGGAGAAGAGGAACTGTGCAAGCTTCTCCGCGCCCTTCTCGTTGGTTCGCTGCGAAACGCCTTCAGCGTTTAGGGTTTAGGGTTCAGGCTTAGGGTTTAGGGTTTGGGGTTTAGAGTTTAGGGTTTAGGGTTTAAATCGGTTCAGCCCAAATCCTGGAGGCTGTCGCTCTCTCCTGCTGCTGCTACTGTTTTCGCCCGAGTTCATCGGCTATGGCTCATTGGCCAGCTGTTTATCAACCGGCTGCTGGCTGTTACTTTCGCCACAATACTAGTAACCTTCCTAAACCCTAAACACCTAAACCATAAACCCCGACAGCCCTAAACCCCAAACACTGAAAGCCTTAAACACCAAACGGTAAGAACTAAGAACCCAAAACCCTCCATGCAGCTGCTCGGCCGACCAGGACTGTCTCCCTGTCAGCTACCAGCACGTCGCCACCTTCGATGGTGACCTGACCGAGGCACGGGTCTAAGATGTAACACCACGTTTAGGGTACAGGGTGTACTTAAAGGACCATGGGACTTAGTAAGTAGGGTTATAACTAAGGTAGCTATACATATAACCCCAATTAGGGGGCTTATAACCTTACTTACTAAGTCCCATGGTCCTCCAAGTAAGGGGAAGTTTAAGGCCCTGAACCCTAAAACCCTAAACCAGCTCAACAATTGAGCACAAAGGCGGGTTAGCAGAGCTCGGCTTCGGTTCGCGACCTACGGTCAGGGTTTAGGGTTTAGGGTTTTAGGTTCAGGGTTTAGGGTTTAGGGTTTTAGGGTTAAGGGCTTAGGGCTTATAGGGTTTAGGGTTTAGGGTTTGGTAGATGGGGAAGCTGTGGGAACTCTTCACTGCAATGCTTTAGCAGAGACAAGACGTTGTCATATGCTGTACTGGGCATCACGATGGATATCTGGCAAGACCTAAACTTCAGTGCTCCGAGAGAGCAAGCTCCACACGAGGATCGGTACCTAGTCATATTCCATACCGACCCATCCACACAAAGACATTCACCATGACTCCATAGCATCATCATCTTCTTCTGCACCATCATCGGCATCACTAGAGACGGTGGCTTGTGGTGATGGAGACAGGTCATTGGTGGTGACACCCATGGTGGTGACGTAAGATACTTCTGACAGTGTGGATGGTGCCCTTGGCGATAGATGTCGGAGTTGACTTGGGCGGGGGGATAGCCGGTGACCACACATATGAGGGTTGTCGTGAACATCGCAAACACTGATGACAGGAATTGCAGGGTTACAAGCATCTTAAAATTCCAACAGGTGACGGTGGTAAGGTAAATGAAGAAGAGTAGTAATGTGAATGACATGATGGTGGTGATGATGATGATGGCGAAGAACACATTCGAAGATGTCCGTGGCGGCGACCACCACGGCAATGACGATCACGATGATGAGGATTGTGATTTGCAGTGATGATGAAGATGCAGTTCTGTGCAAGTGGATATGTATGCAGTACTAGCTACTAAAGTTGTCTTGACCATAGCCATGCACTTAGTTTTGACACACAGCAACCTTCGTGCATGCCCCGATCATGATCGCAGGAGTGATGCTGACGATTTTCCTGCCAGGGTCAGATGTAATGATGATGATGCTGATGACAGTAGCATTGATCATGGCTAAGTAAAACCCTAAACCCTAAACCTTAAACCGTGGAAAGAGAGTCGGCATTCCCAACAAGACAGGCAGGACAGTTGTCTCCAGCCTCTGGGTCATCGGCCAAGTCTTCGAAGACTTTGACACCCTGCCAACGTGTGGGCTGGCGAACTGCCCAGCCCGCTACCGGGTGCTTTGGACAAGGGCGCGGGGCGGTGGTGGTGAGGGGGTGGAGGCAGTTGGCGGGCCAATCCAACAACCTTCCTTGTCCTCGCTGACCTAACTTTTCTCTTGGCCAACAATCACGAACGATTCGAACACTTTGGCATTTGCTGAGCGATTGACTATCTCATCACCTATCTGCAATCATCCTGTAACAAAGCAAAGAATAGGAACCTAAAACCTAAACCCAACAAATCTCACCTCAAGCCCAAAACCTCACCCAAAACCCCCAAAAAAAACCTCACCCGGAACCTCATTTCAGCTCTCCCTTGATTCCCTTCCCAGGACATGACCTCATCTGCAACATGGAACATCGGAATCCTACACCCTTAAGCAAGAGCTCTCCGAGCCTTGGGCCTTGGTGGCTCTACTTGTATAGTTCTCTAAATTAGGGTCCCTTTATGGGTCCAACAAAATAAATACGGCACCCTTATAAAAAGGACCCCCAAAGGGACCCTAATTTAGAAAACTACCCACTTAGAGGATCAAAGGACTTATCAAGTAGGGCTTCTTTAAGGGCTCTGTGTAGGGTAGGGTTTAGGCTCTAGGGTTTAGGATTTAGGGTCTGGGGTTTAGGGCCTAGGGGTTAGGGTCTAGCGTGTAGGGTTCAGGCTTTGGGGTTTAGGTAAGGGCTCTGTACGGGTTTCTATGATGAGGGTTATATGAGGCTTCTAGATAAGGGTTTTTATAAGGGTTCTCCAGAGTTTCAGGGCTTGGCAAGTAGGGTTCCCATAACCACGACTATCTCAGTGAGGCTCCCTGCGCAGGTTCCTAGGTCTTCTTAGGCTTCTGTCAGTAGGGTTTGACAAAATCCATGTATAGCGTAGGGTTTAGGGGCTTTAGGGTTTAGGGTTATGTACACAGTCTACACTTGAACCCTAAAGAGGTTTGGGTCTCAAAGTATACCACTATACAGACACGTCGACTCTTAGAGACTGCAAGTCATCTGAATGCTGCCAGTCTGAGGACCATTAAACCCTAAACCCTAAACCCTAAACCCTAAACGTCGTAAACGTGGCACTCTCTCTGACTCCCTCTGCCTCGAACTCGATGCAGCTCATGGTTGGTGTTTCTCGAATAGATTTAAAAAACTCCTTCAACCCACCCTAAACCCTAAACCCTAAACCAAGCATGTGTTCTGGCCCAAACTGCCCAAGCCTCTGTGAGACCTGCCTTGAAGCCTTACCCCTCAACCCTAAACCTTAAACCCTAAACCCAAAGCGCCGAAGTCGAAAACGCTGACGTGGCGAGCTGCTCTGAGCTCACCTCCCTTTGAGCTCTACCTAAACCCTAAAACCCGACACCTTGAGCGGATATCCCTAATTTGCGTTTGGCTTATCTTCGAATCCCAATTAAAGTTGTCGAAAGATGAGCACCAAGAAAGAAAACGACAATCCAGGCATTTACTCGTAATCATAATCATCCCGCCTAAACCCTGCAAGAGGTACCTGAGTGCTCCTTCCACCAGACTCAAACTAGCGCTAAGCCTTGTGCACCATGGTCTGTTTCCCTAAACCCAAAGCCCTAAACCCTAAACCCCTAAACAGGCCCTAAACCCTAAACCCTAAACCCTACACCCTAAACCTAAAACCCTAAAACCCAAACCCCTAAACCCGAAACCCTAAACTCCTAAACCCCTGAAGCCGTGAAGTTCCTTGCTCGTTGCCTGGAGACTGGGATGAAGGCGAAAGATCGCCCGAAGGAGCTGGGCCTCGCCGGAGAAGGGTTTTAGATGGTTTTAGGCTTTGGGGCTTAGGTTTGAAGTTTATGGCTGGGGTTTAGGGTATGGGGTTCGGGGCTTAAGTTTGAAGTTTATGGCTGGGGTTTAGGGTATGGGGTTTAGGGTTTAAAGTTTGAAGTTTATGACTGGGGCTTAGGGTATGGGGTTTAGAGTTTAAAGTTTAGGGTTTGGGGTTTAGGGTTTAAGGGTCCAGGTGCCCAACAGGCTATACTTCGGCTCCCAAGTACCCCTATATGGAGTACTTTAGGGACAACGTATGTACTATATGGACCCTTAGGGTAATACAAGTGGCCCTACACGGCCTCACTACACTTACAGAGGGTTAGCCACCGACAGAGATGTTCTTGCAGTGTCGGTGTTGCATGTAATTCTGTGCTGTTTGATAGCTGGTGTTCAATATGGTGTTTGTTGACAGTGTCTCTATGGTTCCTGACTACTTTGTTGACCGTGCCTTTTCTTTTTGGGAGTGCAGGATCCGGGGTCTTCTGGAACCTCCATTGGTTGTTCTCCCTGTGGTTTTTCAGCATCGAGCACGGCCGAAAGCCCTTTGGTGAATTATACGGTCAGGTTCCAGGGCGCGTTACATACTTTCTGCGATCTGCAGCATGACCGTGATCCCAAAGTACTGTCATCTGTGATCTAGGACGTCCTCACCACCAGTTGTCTCTCGTTCTCTGAGAATCCGTGGCTTTTGCCAGTCTGTGGGTTGAGACGAGACCAGGTGCAGGTAGCCGACGCCGAGAAGAAAGAGAGACGGTGACAGCAGATCACCCAAAGACCCGCAGATAAAACGAGCTCAGAACTTTTGGGGTGTAAGGTTTACGGACTTCTGCTCTGTTTGTACACTTGCAGCCTCGGGGTACATGGACATCCTTGACCCTTGCAGAGACAGAAACCTTGAACCCTGTAGGTACGTTGTAACTGGGCTCTTCTACCCTAATTATAGACTCCATGCATCTATGTAGTACATACTATATACTTCGGCCCTACGTACCGATCGGGGACTGCCTTAAGGCCACAGTGTGTTTATGTCTATGCATGTGTACATACACACATATATATAGATATATAAATATATATACAAACAACTACTGTATATACATATAGATATGTTTATGCACATATGGGTGGTTGTCAAAATTAGGGTCTCTTTTTGGGTACCCTAAATAATAGGTGCCGTATTATAATAAGGACCCAAAAAGGGACCATAATTTTGACAACCACCCATATAGATATGTTTATGCACATATCCTGTACAGTATGAGTCCATGGACACTTACGGCTAGTAGGCGCAGAGAGCCTCCCGCTGGCGAATGGCGTAGAAGGGTCTAGCTATCACCGCCCAACCTCAGAGTGGGTTTCTTTAAGGGTTTAGGGTTT